GTCCAAACAGAACTTCCTTTCACAAGTCCAGCTCCGTGTTAAAGCAGCTGCAGCAGCCTCCGCTGTCCATCTGTCCGACTACCTGCTGGCTCTGCTGGCTCTGCTGGCTCTGCTGGCTCTGCTGGCTCTGCTGGCTCTGCTGGCTCTGCTGGCTCGCTCGTCCTTGTTTGTTTTTCCCAGCATATTTGTGGATTGCCAACTCCTCCAAAAGCATCCCCTGCAATTCCTGAGGAAACTCTGATCCATTTGGGTTTTCCCTTAATTCCTCACATATATCCTTCCTTCCTTGTTACTACCCCTTGTATCCTCCCTCCCTGCTGTTCGCTCCTTCTCACCTGTTTCTAGGCAGTGTCCTCATCTTTGCATCGACCCCTCCTAAGCCCCAGTATTTATTCTGTCCTCCGTTGGTCCCTCTGTTTCGACTTTCACCCACAAACAAGGACCGTGTCACTTCCTGGCTGGAGCCTTCATCCTTAGGGTAGCTTCCATCACTGGAGGGAAATAAGGAGATCAGGGCATGTAGACATACATAACAAATCATCTCCAACATATATGTTAACATTGGACAATATAGAAAAAAACGGCATTGCTTCTTAATTATGAAGGAAATAAATGTCTGTGACAAAGTGCCTGTTCTTAGCTCGTTATTGATACATATTTGATAAATATTTGGCAAGTTCTTCTGGCAAGGAGAAGTGAAAGCATGAATAAAAGGAGCAGAGGGATTTAGAAGTACACACCTGGCAAAAGCCAGTCCCACTCCATTGTCTGCAAATCTGTCAAGGGAAAGGCAAAATAAGTGCATGGTCAAATAGTGAATCCCAGGTTAGTCAGCACTCTAAGATCTAGGGGAATATCTATGAAGAAAGTCTGAGGAAAAGAGCCAGTCATTACTGTGGGCCGGAAACTTCTGAAGCAATTGGGAGTCAGGACTCAGAGAGACACGAGGAGAGCTGGAGCTTTGATGGCAAACACTGACGGTTTATTTGGAGCTTCGGCCGGAGAATTCACAAGACAGGTCACGGGCCACGAGTTGACCACACGGTAGAGATGCCACAATCAATTCTGAAGACCCCTCCTGTAGCTCCAGGTTTTAACTAGTTCAGAGTGTAATAATCAACATTCTTCAATAGACACTGAATCACTTTTGTTGTTGATTATGGCTCGAGGTCATCTACACCCCGAGAAGGATGTGTTCCAGGTGTCCCACAACAATAACTATCTCTCACCGAGAGTTGCCCGGTCNNNNAAAGCAAATTATGTTTGTAGTACTGAACTAATTGAGTTAATCAGATTATAAATGGGTACTCGGATTAATTTAATAATCGATTAAGTTGGAAATACTTAAAAAGATCAACGCAAATTGTTACCTCAATTTATCTAAGTGGAGCCGGGGTTTTTTTTTTTTTAGAGTGTAGCTTGTGAAAAAGCTGGCAGTTATTGGCTTCTTTGATCTTGTACACAGTGAGGGTTTAGGGTTTTAAGAGCTTTTTTTTGGTAAAAAATCTGCTTGCCTGTTTGATTCAATTCAGTTTTTTTGTTACAAAAGTCACAAAAATAAATGTCATCATTAATTAGTATTTTGTTTCCAGGAGCAAGACCCGAGCTTAAACCAATATAAAATAAATATCTACAGAGATGTTATTGTATAAATTGTTTTAGTTTTTCTTTCATTGATTTGTATTATTATTGAGGAATCAATCTGTCAAATATTTTTGGTTTTAAAATGATGTATACAAATTCAGAAAATAGTTGAAAAGATCTTTACATTTCTTGTTTTGTCCAAATATCAGTCTTACACCCAAAATAAAGAATGTACTGGAAGCAAGAGATTTAAGAAAGAAACTAGAGCTAAAGCACATTTATTTATAACAAATGAATAATCAAGAACAAAAATAAATTACTAAAATTAGGAATTTAATATAAAACAGATACCTATTAAACACATTTTCTGTCTATTGACTTTTGAGTAAGCACTTACTAAGTTTAGTGTGGGTACATCTTTAATACTAACAACATTCATCTTTTATATTCTACTGTATCTTCAATAATCTAATTGGAGACACCTTCAGCAGCTCTGAGTTTCTTGGTTCTCTGTAATCTGGTAGGAGGTGCTGCAGCTGACGTTACTTCACATTATGTTGCCAAAACACTCCGAAGACAGGGATTTATTATAGTACAGAGTAATGCTGGCATTGATCATGTGTAGACTGCCTTGTTAATCTTCAGTAAACACCACATGGTGTTGTGAACGTTTTACATAGGCTTTTGTCAGTGCATGTTTAACAAGTGAAGCTCATGCTGTTGTGACCCAATTAAAGGCATTTGTGTACGGTCTGTTTGATAATCATTATTTTTTATTTCATTTAAAGTGTGTGCTTTTTACTGTCAGAAAAGATAAGCTAAATGAATGTGTTTGGCTCGGCCCTAAAATATGATATTTCTCTGCTTTGTAGTTTTGGTAATCCTCACAGCAGTATTCTGTATTCATCTTTTGTGATAAGCTGCGTGCAGATCTCCTGTGACAGGATGGCACGACACCAGGAGGAAAAGGCAGATTGCTTGCACTTTGATCAGGTCTGTTTTATTTTTGTCATATCCACCGAGCTAATCTCAACGTCTGATTTCTCTCCTGAGTCAGAAACCAATTTAATCATTACATGGATTGTGAGTTCTTGTGTAACAATGGCACTTCACCAACATCACTAAACGTCTATGTTTTGGGGGTGTACGAACAGAGAAAGTGACAGAAATTAATTAATTTTTTATTTTTCTCAAATGAAATAAATACTGTTTATTTTCAACTCTCATCACATTTACTAAATCCGTCAAAAAATATATATATATAAGCTCCTCTCCCACAGACATTGATCGATCCACTCTGAAGCAAGATGAAGAAAGTGTTTGTAACTTAAAGAAGTTGTTAAACAGCAAGACAGCGAAATATTGAGGAAGGCTGGGTGAAAGCAAGTAATGATTTCATCATTTATCCCTGACATAAAACTCATTTATGAACTTGATGATTTGATTACATTTTCCTTTGCCTAATTTGTTTTTTGTGCTAATTGTTTTATAATTCCCAGGGCGGGATATCCGCAGTCCCACTATGCTTATCATATATTTCATTACTGGATATGCCTGGTTAGGATTTGGAGATAAATAACTAAGATGGAGCCTCTAAAAATCCCACTGTGATAAAATGATTTTCTATAAGTTGGAAGACATTATCGCAACAGAAAAAGAAAAGATCAACTGATATTGGTGTTGTTATCTAGTTGGAACAACATTTGATGCACATTCGAGCCAACATAAATTATAGAGGGATGTCAAGTTGTTTCAAACCCTCAGCCCGATTCAGTTAGTGCCAGAATGGGGGGAGGAAAAGCCATCGATATTGCAATGTGCTCTTTACTGATAAAAACAAATGTTTGCGCACATAGCCAAAAAGGAACATTTATCACTCGACTGGCTGGCTCTGGAATCAATACGGCCCCTTGAGGGATGTGGATTTCTTCTTCATGGTACTCTAAATGGCTTTTATTTGACATTTTTCCTCTTTTGAACACTACCTGCATTTTGACTTCAGCTTGTGGCAGATGTTTTATCAATGAGAATCACCCACTCACTCAGCTGGCTCCTAAATCATTTTTAATTTCTCCACACGACTTGGAGCAGAGATTTAATGTTTGTTAAATGTGCTGTGCCTGCTGCGTCACCTCATACCAAGAGACGAGTAACGTAAGATTGAAACTGTGGGTTGTCTGTGTTAAAAAGCATTAAAACTAAGACTCGTCTGGTTTTCTATGTGTCTCTCCCTCTCATGTGTTGAACGAACCAGGTATTTTCCTTTTTTTGGACAGTGGTTGTAGAGAGGGAGCACAGACTATGTTTTTTTAGGCAGAAACTCAAAGCAGCCACAAGACACTGTTGGTGATGTGATCCATTATTGAATTCTACCAAGCTGCTGCAGATAATATGTAAAAAGTCTGGATTCAGTTGGTACATGTGTGAAAGTACAAGCAGCTGTGTGTTTATGGAAAATTTGATCTCTGTGGACTGAGATAAACACTGCTGCAATGTTGTGGCTTTTAATACATCTAACCTTAGGCCGTTCTACAGAGAACAGAGGAAGGTTTGACAGAGGCTCAGTCTAACTTTGTTCAGGAAACCCAAATATATCCCTGCAATATTATTCCTGAGTACAGAAAAGTAAGAGACCACAGCCTCATGGTGCCCAAAGCAGTGTCAGTAAAAGGTTATGTTTGTTAGTGGCAGATGCACTGCAGTCAATAAGGTCTAAGCCCAGTTTTCAGTGTGTAATGATTCAAAACAAGCTGTGAAGCAGCACTTCAGGCTGAAAGACTCTCAGCTGACTGAAAGACAACAATCAAGAAGAATGAGCCAATTTTTTTGGTATATAGGCACAGTGAAACCTAAATGTAACCTTTTCAAACTTAACTTTATATCGAACAATTGTGCGTAGTAAAAGGAAATGAGACTCAATTAACCTACAGATAATTATCACATCAATCTGCGGTTCCTCTTAGCCCAACAGTGAATTTAAGCTCCTTGTTTATCTGTCTTTTTACACATTGATTTCATTGGTTTCACTCTCATAGCACTTATAGTGTCATTTTCAGCAGGAGATTGTACACTGCCCATGGTAAAACTAAAATACCTTTCTGTACAAATTATAAAGTGCTATGAGCATGAATCAAATGAAAGATCAGAAGACTGAAGTGGTCTCCGATTATTTTGATTACAATTTGTTCCACAGTCCTCAGCCTCAGTGTTTAACTTCCTAGGACAGATGCCAAGTGCGGGGGGAGGTGCGTCATCATCCTAAATGGCATCTGCGTATTCATGCCAGGCAAATTACTTTTCTGTATACTCATCTGGATGGGCTTTTTGTTTGGATTCTTTTTCTCGCTGCTCAACGCTCTGTGTGTTGAATTAACATATAAAACGAGGTCAGAAGTAATCAGCCTATAAATGGAAAAATAGTCTCATGAAGGCTTCGGTGAGAGACAAGTGACAGGTGAGTGACACAAGTGACAAGTGAATGTCGGGCACAAAAACATCAGGTTCACTTTAAATGTCCTTAATCCTTGTTTGCTCATTTCTATGCAGAAAAATTAGTCAGAAGCATAAAAACCAGGCTTTTAGATGTGGACCCTCCCACTGGCAGGACACTTTTTGGATAATCTGACATATAATCATCAGATATTTAATCAGTGCCCTAAGCTTTTGATTGAAAATGTAAAGCCTTGTGTGAACCTCGTATTTAAAAATAAATCATTTTGACTGAAATTTGGCCACAGTGTATTATTTATGAGCTGCAGCAATGGTTTGATTATTGCACAAGGTTGCTGTATTAAGTTAAATGGTCAAGCCATTTATTATAACACTGAAACTTCTCAACAACAATGCTTCAGGTTGTCCTGACTGTCATAATAATAATAATTTCTATGGCACTTATAAAAACATTTACAGTCAAATTGCATCACAGAAGGACCAAACGCGAGGACAAAGGTTCGCGGGTGGAAGATAAGCACACACTATAACACTATTAATGAAAACAACACTGTAAGACAATCAAATATATTGTTGCCAGGTAGTTCTCATATCCTTGCCCGCACATCATCTGTCATACAGTTCTAACCGTAAACATGAACACAACAGAAAATCAGTATTGCTTTTGAATCCACAGTGTGAGCAGTGCACTGTGGGTGCAGCAAACACATGATTCAGATATTAATCAAGTGGAACAGAAGGCTCTCGATCTGCACCATTACAAAAGATAACAGGTTGTCCAATCAAGATGTCAAATCTCTTTGTTTTTTGGATGACTTGCATACAGAAAATCAATAGCGCAGAAGAGCAGAGATTGTGCTCTGTACTATTTGTCATGTTGAATGGTCAAACTGAAAGAAGAAGCGTCAAAATGCTTTATATTATACCGTCAGGCTTTGTTTGACAAATCCAGTTCTTGGCAACCTGATCGTTCTCATTATTTTAGTATTCATAAATATGTGGCCCTGGATGCTTTAGTCTACATTTTAGAAGAGGATCTCTCTGAAACAGAGAACAGAGAGCATTAATATTAAATTAGGATCGGCTTGCTTCAGCTCTCAAATCAAAATTACCCATTGCACCTTATCCTCTGAAAATTGTCTACTGATTAATAGAATGACTTTCAATAAAAGGGCAAAATCCCAGGAGTTCCAGACTCTGAAGGAAATAACAGAGGTGGAAAACCACATTTTCTCCACTCTAAAAACGAATTCAGGCGACCTTTCACCTCCACTTAATTAAATGCATGGTTGCAAGATAAAAATGTGAGTTAATTGATTTAGATAAACATTTTAAGTTGCAAACATTAATTTATAAGTTGTGTTGACGTAATAATGTTGGTAAGTACATCAACTTAATATTGTGTTTAATTTGAACTCTGATTTCTGCGTTAATTGACATACAACACAATTCAAGTTGTAGTAGGTAATGCAATTGGCTTGATAACTTAATTGTTGCCTCTTTGAAGAACCAGCACCTTACCGTGGTAGAGAGGTTTGTGTGCCCTGATGAACCTGGGGGCTGTGTTGTCTNTTGTAATTGTTTGGGAATCATTTGCCCTGCGTGTCCTCCTTCGCCCTCTGACGCAGCTGACCAACCAGCCCCTCCTTATGGGAGATAGCGGCTGCTCAAGGTTGGTCAGCTGCGTCAGAGGGCGAAGGAGGACACGCAGGGCAAATGATTCCCAAACAATTACAAGCTGTGAACCGTGTCTTCACAGAAACGTGTCGTGGGATTCTCACATCGTCTTGTCATCATGGTCAGAATCAGAAACAGGTTTATTACCAGGTAGGTTTCCACGTACGAGGGATTTGACTTGGTGTCGTGGTGCATACAAACAAGAATTAAAAACACAGTTTGTTATTCACGTTTGTTTTTTTGGTAAATCTCAGTTCTTTTGAAAACATGACATTAATCGGTCTTACCCAGAGTCCTGGATGACGATGTCCCCTCCCCGTATCCACGCTCCTAAATCGTTGTTCTTGTAAGAGATCAGAGTGTCAATCACTGCTGCAACCCGGGGGCGGTTAGGGTCAGCATCCTGGTGCGGCCGGAATCTGACGTACACACGTGAACACATGCATTTCTATCATTATCCTTCTGACTTTAGTTTGTACTGTTAACACAGTGTCAAACGTTATTTCCCTCCAACGGATTCTGCACACTCTTGAAGGCTAACGCACAAGACAACACAAACAAAAGATGGCTTGAACTAATTCACTTTGTCTCTCTGTGTGACTAATAGCCCGGATAATCATAACGTCATCCTACAATAAATCTGCACAGAAATTATTTATAACTAGGCTTATTGTCTAACTGTTAAACTCTGGCTTCACTGCTTATTGCCTCCCACAATGCATGCTAATGTGATGTGGTATTGTGTTGCAAAAAAGACCATTGTGTCATTAAGTAGAAAAAGGGGTTAATCCCCCTCTGGAGCATCAATGTGGCTGGAAAAGTGTATGCCTCTCCTCCCATTAGATTACGAAATATCTTGTGTAGAAACTAAAAGGGGATTTGGAGTCTTTTTAAAAAATAGACTGGGCTCATCCTCTTTCATTCAGCCTAATGGTGCAGCTAAAATAGTCTTCAAAGTGAGCTTTTATGCTACCTTGAATATCCACACATCTTATAACAATGTAGCTGCTAGTTTCTGGAATATCTTGTCATGGAACAAAGTGTTAAATCAGAAAGAAACTATCAATACCCAATCCCTCTCTCTTTCTGTCTCTGAAGGATTTATGCTTGGTACACAAATGTAACATTAAAAGTCCTCCCCCTCGTACCTGTGCACACATGCACAGAGCGCGGCCAGCGGTCTCAGAGGACACGTAAGATTTTTTCCGTCTAGTTGAGGGCAGTATTTGGGTAGGGAGAGTGGAAACTCTATCTGTGAAGCCTTGTTTTCTCTGTCAACACAAGCCTTCCACCAAAATGCAGAAACAGAGCGTAAAGCCATCTAACTTTCCCAGTCAATGGCCGTACCCCCAAAGATATTCACCAGGGGGGCTATAAATAACTCAATTCAAACCTTTATTGACAGAAACACATTAGTAAACCACAAATAACATAATATTTGCATAGTGTAATTTTACACCAGCACATAATCACCCATTATAGCCCCCCTGATAGCGCACAGTTTACACTTTGTTTAACAACATGTACAGTAAAGTGTACTGTATATTGTACTAGTGAGTTGTAGGTCACTAACCATTAACTAGCAACTCATTCATTGAGATGTCAAAAACCATAAGAAAAATAGTAATTATTATCTTTTCACACATAAATCACAGAGAATACGTCTTCAAAATGTAAATGCTTTTGCACACACATACACACCTGGCACTGTTATCTAGACACAGGTATTCCCGGGGGTCCGCAGCGCTGGCATTGCTGGTCTTCACTCCTTTATCGATGAACAGCCCTGCCTAGAAAAATGTGAGTATGATTTTAACTCCAGATGTTCCCTAAAATTACAGAAAGAGATCCAAGATGGGCCACAGGTCTATTCCTGCTAAACTCACATAAACAAGACGACTAGTATACTTCACAGTGTGGGACCTGAGGCAATAAGAAACGCACTACATTTCAATCCTGGGCCCACAGAGTCATGCAGTAAGGCAGACTGCGGACAGAAACGTTGGTAAACAGAAATCCTCCGAGTAATTTGTAAGAAAACGTACTGTATGTTTACACAGCCCGGAACATATGGTTTATTTTTGTATGTTTAGAAAATGAATTGTAAAATACATTCTAAGAAAAAATGTTGTATGTGTGTACGTCTCAGGTATGTGGAAACCTGGAGTTGATCCTGTGAGAGAGGCTTCTGTGGTCACACTGAACAAAGAGCGTACAGTTCACCTGCCCGACTTCTGTCCTCACACAACAGAGCACTATTGTAGAGGGCTACTTGTGTGTGTGTGTGTGTGTGTGTGTGTGTGTGTGTGTGTGTGTGTGTGTGTGTGTGTGTGTGTGAGATAGTGTGTGCGTGTGTGTGTGTCTGGTGTGTGTGTGTGTGTGTGTGTGTGTGTGTGTGTGTGTGTGTGTGTGTGTGTGTGTGTGTGTGTGTGTGTGTGTGTGTCCATGTCTCATTTTTGGCAAGAAGTGAATAAGCAGAGAAATATGTGCAATGCATTTTTACAAACTATGCAGAAGACGTTTGGCACCTTGTGTTTACTGTAGAAAAAGCACACACTGACTTGAGGCGACATCGAAAATGAAAGGCTAAAAAATAAGCTACAGTGGTGATACCTTAAAGTTGGAGTGTACGCGGTTGTTGTAAAAAATCCCCAGGGGTGTGAGCTCTGCCTTGGTCTCTGGTACCAGCCCATGAGAGTCTCCGGTGGAAGAGCTGTGGAACACGAACCATATGCCAGCATCCTGCAACAGGAAGGGAGAGATGAGGTGATTGATCATGTTCATGGCACGCCTGGGCAGCAGCAGTTTATGAACATATCATCTGAAGGTTGAGTGTCCATGCTAAACCATTACGCAGAACAAGGCAGGATGTCATACTGCATGCTCCACAGAGAGGGTAAGTCAGGTGTAAGAGTTCATATGAGCTCCATAGTTCATCGAAGTTTACGCTTTAATAGATTTAGACTGAAAATCCCAACCCCTACAGCCCTCCTCAGTGAACCTCCTGGATGATTGTGCTAAAATGAAAAATAGACTAGATAAGGGATCTACTACTTGTATCTTGTCTTACGATGTTATTGCATCCTTCCAATCAGAAACTAAAGGCCGTTAAATCCTATTTTATTGATGGATCAATTTGTTATGAGCATGAACATCTTTCATTTTGTAAAGATCAGGAACACCAAAGCCAGTGCTGCTTCACTTCATTTCATTTATATTATAAATTAATAAGGAGCTCTACTCGTTGACTACTCATTTTTTATGAATCACTTTTGAACATGTTTCCTTACGTAACTCTGATGTTATTACCTGAGAACCAGCAGCTGCGTTGCTGATGAGATTGTTGTTGGGGTTGGCGATCCAGAACGTGGAAACTGCCCTGAAAACCACCCCCACCACACACAGAGACAAAGACAGAGACATAAACACACACACACACACAGACAAGCAGAACAGATATTAAACAAGGCGGTACAGAGACTGTGACTAATAAGCAGAAGACAGAGATCAAAGGAACCTGTGATCTTCCAACATTCCCTCAATAATCCACCTCTCCAACATCAACCCTGGGCTCTGCCAACACACACACACACACACACACACACACACACACACACACACACACACACACACACACACACACACACACTCTTGTGGCTGGACGCTGGCTAGTGCCACCCTACACACGCACGCAC